TGTATTACAAATACTGTCGACTCCTTTCTTGAACAGATAGTGATTGGGCTGCCCATTCAAGTCATGAACCGATAATGATGTAGAGAAACACCGATGGTTCATTTTGGTTTCGTTTGAGCTGAAAACCGAATTGAATCGCTAGTGCTACTCTACTGTACTGTTGCTTCACACTGAACCAATAGCGATGGTGTGAAACCAAGCGTGGTTTTTGATATATTTGTGGTGGAAATGCAGGAAATGTGTATGGACTAATACGGGTCAGGTTACGATATCTATGCCTAAAAAATGGTCGTTTGTTTACGTGTATGCATGTGATTGAAGTTAGCCTCGATCAATGGCATTTAAGAGACTATGCTCATATAGAGAAAGAAGTCCTTGAAGAAGAGGTTGCAGTACTAAAAGTAGTCACGTGACCTTGACGAAGAGGTTGCAGTGCCGAGAGCAGTCACACGAAAAAAACGTTCCCAAAAAATTGACTGCTCACCTAGCTACCCATGTAGGTTCTCAGGTGGACGAAGTTCCTAAGGTTTGCTCATTCCAAGCACTCTCGTGCGTGCAAGTGCTTAGAAGCAGAGAAAGCATAAGCTGCGGAGGAGCAGAAGGTTGGGAGGTGTACCAAGAGAGGAAGAAGAGAACAACCCAGAGGATGAATAGAAGAAAACGTTATTCTATCTGTCTAACCAGGAGAGAGATGTTTCGGGTGCAATTGACATGCTTAATTGCTCCAACTGAAACGTAACGTTCAGAAGGGGAGGAGAACAGCCAGCCCTGTCCCGCCGCTCGCCATGCCATGCCCTAGCCGGCTCGGCGTGCGCACGCGTGGCAGTCCCACCAACATGTGCTCTCAATTAGTAGCCTATTTAAGTTGAGGTCCCTCCATGTTGGTTTCCAAGGTGATATTAATTCTTTAAGATTAATTGTGGATTCATAGAATTTACTAGAGTTAAATTGGGCCTAGCCCCGACTCCTCCTCCCCCGCTATCAACGGCCTTGCGAGTAGATCTGGTGTTGCTAAGCTCATAACAGCCAGATCTAGCGAAGGTACCCCCGCAATGGTCAGATCCAGTAGAGGTGGCACTGCGACACGCAGATCTGCCATTGCTGATGGCCACTGGAGCGGTCGATCCACGGGCTTGGGATGGCAGCAAATCTGGCTAAGAGATCGTGACTAGGGTTTCTATAATTAAAGACGGACTCAGCCCATAAACACAACTGCTGTCCTACTGCACACGGTTGCAGAGCGATTCTTTTGATCTTCGATTGAAAACAAGCCGGCAACAGCCAACAAATGCACAACAACACGGGGAGGACTACCGATCGGACATTCGATATTTACATAAATATCGGACGGCTACCTCCTCATGTACCAAGTAGAGCTTTCACACGGTTCTTAGGCGGGTGACGCTGCCACTGCTGCATGCTTGCTATTTGCATGTAGCTAGCTATCTGCTCTATTTTCCTTTATCTTATCTCTCTTTTAACCACCTTTTTTAAAAAACTTTATTCTATTTTTCCTTCTAAATTAATTATTCGATCCATGATCCAATTTCATCATTATATTCATCACAACTAAATCTTTATAAATAGATATCGCTTGATTATATTTATGAGAAAATATATAATATGATTACAGTTCTACTTAAAACATTTTTATATTATACAAGAAACAACGGGATATAAATGTTGGAACATTATAAAATACTTAGTGAAACATCCAATGACACTACGTGCACCATTTACAAATAAACTATTAAAACATTAGAAAATAATTATTGAAACATTAAAAAAACACCCAGTGCAACATTTAAAATAGATCCATTATAACACAAAAATTAAAAGATGCAGCATAGTCAATTTCTAATTGCAACATTTATTTCTCATAGGTGAAGCATCCAACTTGAATGGTTGAAAAAAATATATTTTTTTATCAGAATATAATCACATGTGATCTTACTATAAAGATTTAATTACAACGAATACAACTGTTATAAATCGGATAAGTAATTTGAAAGAAAAAAAAGTATCCATAGCTTATAAATAAAACCTCATGCATGTACATGCTCTCGCATAGACTGCATGTCATCGTGTAGGCATCCAACTTCTAAAGATGGCGTATAAGTAGGAAGGAGAAGAAAAAAGAGAGAGAGACTTAGCATGTCCAGCGAAAGCGAAGGAGGCATCGGCATATTGTCCGATTTTTTTTCTCGGTCGAACGGCCGATCACAAGCATTCTCTCAACAAGACACAGGGAAAGGCCCAAACTTACGGTATGCTGATATGGGATGTTAATCTTCCGTATGCGCGGTTCAGCAAATGTAACTTTAGAACCCGCATGCTTTGTAATTGTTGGCCTTGCAGGCAGTAGGCAAACAAACATTTTCGTCAACCCAAATATTTGATTTAAATCAATTTTGGTTCACACTTAGTTTCTTACAGAGGGTTCGCATTGAAAATTTGAAGTCAATGTTGTTGGGATATCTGTACTCCCTTCATCCCTTAATATAAGAGATTTTGACATTTTGCTTGTACTGTTCTCATCGTCAGCTTGTTGGGGCACCAAATGCGTATACCATGGTTAATCTTAATCAGGATGCTAGCTAGGTACGAGAAATTTACATATGTGCCATCGTGAAAAGTTGGTTTCGCTAAAATGCGAGCCTACCAGCTATCTCCGTCAGTTGTTCTCACAATGGCTCGTCAATTGTTCAGCGGATAACACTAAGCATAAAACTGGCCGTTAAAATGCCTGCCAGCTATCCCATGGGTGAAGTTGTGAGGTGTTCGCTAGGAGCTCTAGCTACACCTTCTTCCTAGCCTTGTTGCTGGAGCCCATGGGTGTGTTCAACAGAGATGTTGCTGGAGCATCGTGAGCTGCAGCCAGGGCCGACGGCGACGACATGACGCGCAGGGGAGCGTCGGAGGGATGAGGAAGAAGCTAAAGGGCAATATTATCCACGATGGCATTTTAGCGAACACTTCGACCATGCTATTTTATCGAAGCCCATTTAAAAGATGGCATTATAGTGAAGCCAGCTTCTTCGATGACATAGATACAAATTTCTCGCTAAATGCACTTATCAGGATAAATCATCTAGACATACATGTGCTCAATAGTTTGCTGATTATACAAATATAAGAAAAGGAATATGAAGACTATGTGTAGTGTATTGAAAATTGAAAGCGTTTCCATCGTTCGTCTAAAATAAAAAAAGAGTGAAAAAAAGTCCGATTGTATGTAAAAAGGGCTGAAAAAAAATCTGATTTCTATCTGATTTCATTGTTTATATGTTCTCTATCTCTAATCGAATCTAATCTAACTCATATATACCTATACCAAATTAAAAAAACTGTAAGGATTCCGGTAGAGATTTTCATCTGGCTTGGTCCATCACCGCATCACGCGCAGCCCCTCTCCAAATCCCAAATCATTACCATCCAACCCATAAACAAAATCCCAATCCAAATAGGAATCATCACAAAATCATCCAAAATAGATCACATGACAGGAGATAATCAAATCAGATCACAAATAAATCACACAGGAGTGGGAAGGGCGAGCGAGAGGTCGCTGCCGACCTGTCACTGCACCGGGATCCACCGCGTCACCGCCGTGCCGGGAAGTCGTCGACCCATCGCTGCGCTAGGGAGATGTTGAGAGGGAGAGAGAGGAGCCAGATCCTGAGCCACCATGCCGCCGACCTGCCGGATATGGCAACGAGCGGAGCGGTGGATGCACCCCGACGAGGAGGAAAGGGGCCACCGCCCACTGGTGGGGGAAGGGACAGCGCCAGTGGGGGAAGAGGGAGGGGGAACGGTGATGCTGGTGGGGAGAGGGGAGAAGGAGCAGCGTCGCCGGTGGGAAGAGGCAGTGGTGCCGCCGTGGGAGAGGTAGTGGGGCTGCCGTGGGGAGAAGGGAGGGAAAGGGGAGAGGCGGCCTGCGGTGTGGGGGCGAGGAGGGGACTAGGGTTAGGGATTCCGGGTACGCTCGGTTTTGATGGAATCTGGAAACGATCCGAGCCGTCCATCAAAATGAACGGTTTAGGTCGATCCTGACTTGGGCCGGCAACATTCCCAAGCCGCCGCGTCGCTAGGCTACCTCATGGGCCGCAAGTTTGTGGGCCAGGCAAATATCATTTTATTTCTCTCTCTCTCATTATTTTAAGTATTTTCTATTTTTAGGAATAATATTAGTACCATTTTAATTGTTTAAAATTGCTAAGAAATTATGAAAATTGTTTTCGTTCTTTTTTTCTAGAACTTTCTTTCTTTAGGAATATATTTTCTTAAATGGCTCATATCATGAAAAAATAAACCCTAATCAATATTTTTATATTTTTTTATAATTTTAGTTTACCCGTTGTAACGCACGGGTATGTTTTCTAGTAATAATAGAAAAAAATAAATAGAAATAAAGGTCATTCACATATAACGTATGCCTCGTGACCTTCGGATGTGCACGTGCCATTCCAAGTAGGCTTCCAACTCACCATTATTAGTACCCTTTTGCTCAATAAAATGTTTTACAACCGCCTTTATGCAAATAGCCACAAGCCATCCTTGTATTCCCCTTGCACGTCTGCATCATTGGTGTGGCTTGCTAAGTGCGGTGGTTGTACTCAGCCTTGCTATTTCCCCATTTTCAGAAGTGTTTTGCTTCTGAGCTGAAGACGAAGTTAGAGGACCAAGGCTCAGACCCCAGTTGAGTTTTGCCTCTGGAGTGGAGCTAAAGCCCCGCTAGGATCGCCTTTTTCCGCTGCTGCTGCTTTCGTTTTGGTGTGAGGACTAAGTGCCTCTTCTGTAAGTATTTACGCTTTATTTACGTTTGGAACTGTTTATTACTTGTCGTTTTGTGTACCCTGGCTAATTCCTGGACAGGGATATAATACACTAAATAGTCTGGAAATTTGGGCTAAATTTCTGGGCGTGACATCAAAGTGGTAGGGATTTATTGATGTTTTTTTTTCCTTTTTTGATGTGGTGGAATTGGAATATTGCTGCAGGCCATGGAGGCGCAGAGCATGCGAGGTGTAGTGGCATACTGGTTGTTGTGTTTCCTAACTCCAAGTCAGAGCCGAAGGGGCTATCTACTAATGAATTGCTGAATACTCTGAGGTTGGTCTCATCTTTGCGCTGTGAAATTTCATTTTGTGGTTTCGTATTTCATCTATTATAGGTGTTGAATTAGTGAATTTGTACAAGAATAGGTTGAGAAGGGTAACATTTGAGCTTTCCATACTCACTGTTAAGCTGTGTCCACAGAATGTCAAATGCGTAGATAGCTGCTCATAGAAAATGTTCACAAGTACACAAAGGTTTCATTATGTGTTCCATAAACCCAATGCGTTACTACCAGGTTTAGCCAGGGGAGCTTGTGCTTTCATTTATGATCTGGGTTGATATTACTTAGTCTGAGAATGTTTCTTCATCAGTTGTTGATGTGTCCATAAGCGAAGTTATTGCATCACTTGAGCAATATGATAAGATGTTATTTTATTATCTATCGGCCGATATGCTGTAATGTTCCACTTGTGATTTACGACAAGCCACTACATGTTCTTCACTTTGTAGCTCCCAATGCACTCATGTCTTATTCTACAAGATTGGCTTCTTTAATACTCCCTATTGAAACTATTTTGTTGGGACAAGCAATATATCTCAGTAGTTAGGACTTTCAGCCGATTGATATCTTCTGTTAACAGGGAACTCAGAGTTGACTCCATTCTACTTGCTAGCTACTCGAAACTTATACCTGTTGAGCTAGTTCAGGCGTATCCGAGATCTATATGGAATATCCACCCTTCATTACTCCCTGCATTTGGAGGCAAGGGTTATTATGGTTTAAAGGTGCATAAAGCAGTCGTTGCATCTAGAGCTAGGTACTTTGCAATTTGCAAGTTCTCTAGCACCTACAAGTAGCTACTATCCATTGCATGTTTACCTAATATTGTTTCCAAGAAAAACAAAATCTTACTTTGCAAAAACACAAAAATTAGGTGTCAGCATAAGTTGTCCACAACTATGACAAAGTTGATTTCTTTTGATTAGGAAAAATGGTGCTAAACTAACAATTTGCAGTCTCCAAGGAAAATTACATCTTTTCATGAACTGCTAACTGTACACAGATACTCAGGTCCAACTGTGCACTTTGTGGATGAGCACTATGACATAGGAAGGACTTTAGCCCAAAGAGTTGTGTCTATGTTAGCAAATGATATATTAGAGCAATTGGCTACAAGAGTCCTTCATGAGGTAACATCTGCTCAGCTGAGATTTCTTCGGGGTCCATTCTTTTGATTATCTTAAATCAATTATCTATCATTGTTGTTATCTCATCTGTTCTTTTGCTGACTTATTACTTTTATTTTTCAGGAGCATCAAGTTTATGTTGATGTAGTTACTGCCTTGTGTGATGACCGAATTGTGTGGAGGGAAGATGGTGTCCCAATTATTAGAAGCCGAACAAACCCGGATGAGTACACCTAAGTACCTAAGTACGCAACCCATGGTGCTACCTCAAGGTTTCCTGCACCCCAAGTAATTAGGCTTTAAATGTGGCTGCCATTTTTTTTTACCAAGGCATAGGGTCAATCATACTAATTGAGAGAAATAACATATCCCATACTCTGACACAAAAACAAATTACTCGTATCTTGCAGTATTTAACTTACTGCTCACCGTGTGGCTAACTGGCTAAGCTGGCTAAGATTAAATGATGATATGTGCCTTGACTTGACACAATTTGATTTTGATATTTGATATTATGACTTGAGGAAGCCTACTAGTTGCTGCATGTGACAAGATTGGGTGTTCCATTATACCTTTGGTATTGATTTTTGTTGTTGAATTGATGTAAATGGCCAGAGCCAAATCAATCAAACATTCAAGAAAAACTAGTTAGATCACAATTTTTCAATGTGTAATCTGATTGTCGTGGTTATCATATCTTGCAACCTTCTTTGGTCTGAAGCTGTTAATATTTAGTCCAACAGAAGATATCAATGATATTTTAATGTTTTCTCTTCCGAAATTTTTGTATATAAGGGGGGGGGTGGAAGAAGGGGATGATGTTCTCCATTTTGTACATTTATGTATTGAGTTTGGGTTGCTGCATTGTATGCTATACTTTCCCAACTTATACTCCATCGTTTCCAACGCGCACGCTTCTCGACTGGCTAAATGGTGCTTTGCAAAAAAAAAGTTCTATAGGAAAGTTTCTTAAAAAATCATATTAATATATTTTTCAAGTTTTTTAGCTAATACTTAATCAATCATGTGCTAATTTGTTGTTCCATTATGCATACTAGGGGCAAGGTTCTCAACCCTCACAAAAGAACACAATCTCACCAACTTCTATGTTTTTTTGAAAAAAAAAGGTTTCTAGAAAGTTGCTTTTGAATCATATTTTTATATTTTTAAAGTTAATATTTAATTAATCAAGCGTTAACCCGCCACTTTGTTTTGCATGTTGGGGAACATGCTTGGGGGGGGGGGAGAAAGGGTTCTTTCTCAAAAGAATATGAATATGGCCTTAAAAGTTGCTTCTTATGTTGGTCTCCCTTTTCAATTTGAAATTCTGTGGAAGATGAGGGCTATAGTTGAATCGTAAAGCTGTGTTTGTTTGAAGATAGTGGTTGTGGATGCCTATATTTGAGAATTCTCGGCTACGATGGCTACTCATCATCATGTATACACTATCACATGAAAATAGAAACACTAGTATCTTTGATGTGACATTTTTGTTGGGCCTCCATGTAACATTCTTGTGCCATTCACTTTTATCCCCAATGATACATGTTAACAGTTGTGATTGGCAGAATTTTATAATATCACAAACTAATTAGATTTATAAGCTAGTATAAAATTGATGGTAAAAGTTTTGAAGGCAAACTAACCTGAAACTCTGGGCTAGTGTAATTAATGATGAGGTTAAGGTCTCAATGCCAATAATCCTACAATAAAACATTAACACCCATGAGTTGACCAAGTTGATTGGGTTGGCCCAAATCTCTTTGCCGACATCCTCCGCACCCAACCTCTCTCACATTTGAAGGAAGGGAGGAGTAGGAGGTGAGGACTACCCTAATCTCAAGTCCTCTTTACGAATTTTTTGAAACATGACACTGCATCAATATGATTTGAACGAAGAGAGGAATAGGGTGGGGGAAGAAGGGGGAGGGGTGTGCACCCTCATCTCCCAATCTTGTGTAGTGTGAGGGATGAAACAAGATATATTATGTTTTTAATTGTTTCACAAAATCCAACGTCATATCACATCAACATGATTATAAGAGAAGGGTGGGTGAGGGAGGGGGTAGTTTATCTAGATATTAGTGACAATGAGATTGTATTGATCCCTGGCCATGTTAATGTTGAGCATAGCCTTAGTATCACAACATCGAGATTTGGCATTAGTTTATATATCTATTGATAAAACTTCTCCTAAAAATTTATCACAAGTAAATACAGTGTAATTACTTGCATGTAAATACAATGTTAGTTGTATGTAACTTTCAAAACCTTACATGTAAATACATCTGTACATAATTTTTAAACAACCTGAGGTAATATGTTATTTCCGTGAAGCAGAGGTTGCGGGATTGAATCTCTTCACCTGTGCACTCGTTGTGATTTTTCTTCTTCTTCGCTTGCTCAAATCTCAAAGAAAGTAAGCTTGCTTAAATCTCAAAGCAAATTTAACATTTGTGAAAGTTCCATACAAGTTATATAAAATTTTATAATATGTATATTTAAGAATTTTTGTCGACAAATATGTAACAAAATCATTGGCACCAAAGTTTTAACTTCAAGAATATTCTTGGTGTGGAGTTTTTGTTTTATCGAATCTAGAATTTGGCAACCTATTTGTGGATTGTATCCGTCGGGTGTAGTATTGATCTGACAATTTGATTATGATTATATGTGTTCATGCCCTCTCGGAGGGCTCCCCATCCTTCTTATATAGGTTACAAAGAGTAACATAGGCGAACACAACATCAGTTTCCTATTCTACTCGATCGGGGCTCTATACTATGTTTTAACATACAACACACATAACAACCGAGTTCTACTCTATTACATAATACATGGATCTAACCCACCTACTATCTCTTATCGAATATGGAGACCCGTACCCATATTCTCTACGGGTTCATTTTTATAAACTTCTACTCCTATTTGTTGAGTTAGTTTTCAAAAGGACACTATTAGCCAATAGAAAAATTCAGAGGGGCCAGCAGTGCCAGCAACCCAGCAGCAGGCAAATTAGTCATGAGAGGGATCAGGCGGCTACCCGCGGCGGCCTTCTCCGAGCAGATCTCCCCTCCTCTCCGTCGCCCTCGCCGCCCATGAAGTGCCACTCGGTGGCCGCGCTCTGGTCGCCCTCCCCGCCGTCCCACCACATCACCGCCGCCGCCGCCACCCCCGCCGCCCTCTTCACCGGCGCCGCCGACGGCACCATCCTCCACTGGCCGCTCCTCCCTCCCCCTTCCCCTTCCCCTCGCCCCTCCTCCCTTCTCTGCGCCCACGCCGCGGCCATCACCTCCCTCTGCCCACTCCCCTCCTCCCCTCCATGCCTCCTCGCCTCCTGCGCCGCGGGGGTCCTCTCCCTCTTCTCCTCCTCCGCCTCCGCCTCCGCCTCCCTCCGCTGCCTCCGCCGCCGCTCGCTCCCGCCCTGGGCCGGCTCCCCTTCCCTCGTCGCGCCGCTTCCTCCCTCCTCCTCCTCCGCTGGATCGTCGAGCGCGAGCGTCGCGATCCTCTGCCACGCCCCGGACGACGGGGGCCGCCACGTGTCCGCCGTCGTGGTCGTCGACGCCCGCACCCTCGTCGTCCTCCGCACCGCCTTCCACGGCGCACTCTCCGTCGCGCCGCCCAGGGCGATCGCTGTCGCGGTCGATGCCGGCGTCGAGGATGCTTCCGTCAGCGTCGTGCTGGCCGATGCGCAGGGGCGGGCGCAGGTGGTTCCCGTCGCGGAGGGCGCGGCCGTCGAGGGGGACTCGCCGAGGCGGCTCAGCGCGAGCTCGGCGTCCAGCGTTACATCCGCCGAGGCGGTGGATGGAAGGGTGGAGGCTGTGTCTTTGTCTGATGATGGCAAAGTGGTGGCATTGGTGATGAAGAACAGCTGCTTGTTGAAATGCATCTCCGAGGGTGTTGTGCTGGGTGAGGTGACTCTACCGAGTGATCTGCTTTGCAAGGAAGGGGAGGCAGGCATGAAGGGTTGGCTTGTTGGAGGGTTCTTCCTCCGTGGCGGGGAGTGGGGAGCACATGGCTCGGAGAATGGCAATGTGGTCAGGAGCCTGGTGTTGTGGAGTATAAATGGTGGTGCCATAGTGTACAGGGTTGAGGTTGGTACTGGATCATTTGGGTGTAAAGCTGTTTGTGAAATTCCTGATATTGTGTCGGAGCGAGGAGATGGTTCCTTAGTTCAGTTTTGTCAGTCCGGCAACCAACTTATCAGGGTGGAATCTCGCCCCTATAAGATTGCTGGATCATTGTTGTGGAAACCATTTGTCTCCATATGGTCTATGGATCATCTGGAACTGAATATTGCAAATAACATAGAGAAACCACCTTTGAGCAAAATTCTTGGAGAAGGTGGTCTTCAGGGAGAAGAATTTAGATCAGATCACTCTCATTCGTTCTGCCAGTCAAACAATGGAGTGGACATAAATTCACTGATATGCTCATCAAACAGCAATGGATTGGGAAGGCATGGAGGGACAGTGTCTTCTTCGATGGTACTTTCTGAGGATTCCTACACTCCATATGCTGTGGTTTATGGTTTCCATAATGGTGATATTGAAGTAATCCGTTTTCTTAACCTATTACCAGCTGCAAAATTTGGCAGTGGAGGAATTTACCCACACATTTCAGAAAGATTCTTTTTGGGACACACAGGAGCAATTCTCTGCTTGGCTGCACATCACATGCATGCTCAACCTGATTCCAGAACCTTTAACCGAGTGCTCATATCAGGGAGTTTTGATTCTACAATTCGTGTTTGGGATCTGGATGCTGGCACCATCCTTTCTGTGATGCATCATCATGTTGCCCCAGTTAAACAAATCATGTTACCGCCAGCTTGGACTCATCAACCTTGGGATGATTGCTTTCTTTCTGTTGGAGAAGATGGCATTGTGGCTCTTGTTTCTCTTCAAACCATGAGAGTTGAAAGGATGTTTCCTGGCCATCCTAGTTACCCATCGATGGTAGCATGGGATGGAGTAAAAGGGTACATAGCTTGTTTATGCCGGAATCTCCACTCCTGTAATGATTCAGGTAGTGTATTATATATCTGGGATCTGAAAACAGGTGCTCGAGAGAGAATTATTACAGGGACATCGTCTCAATCAACATTTGAACACTTCTGCCGAGGCATATCCAAGAATGCAGTTACTGGCAGCATCTTGGGAGGGACAACTTCGGCATCTTCACTACTTGTTCCAATTTTCAAAGACACAAGCCTCCTTCAGTCTCATGCAAATAAAAAGGGTCTTAGTATATCATCTGTATCAACAAACCATCACAATGCAAATACAAATTCTGTGACTGTAAGTGTCCCTGCAGCATCTGATGTTATGGGGAAGATGTCAGCTACAGATGAAGCACACGAACTCCATGGAAATAGTTCAGGGAAAGTTGCCTCTGGTCAGTGCATAAACAACAGAAGAAAACACCCCATAAAGTGCTCTTGCCCATATCCTGGCATTGCAAGTCTGAGATTCGATCTCACAGCAATCATGTCTACACAAGGCATGGCAAACAACAATAGTGATAGGCAGTTGAGAGATCATTTTTATAGGGATAATGTTAATGATTCTATACAGGCTGAAACTTGCGATAATACTTCTGGAATGCATGTAATCGACAGCCCTTCTAGAGAATCATTGGAAGGGCGTTTACTTCGATTTAGCCTCTGTTTTCTGCATTTATGGGGTGTTGATCATGAGCTAGACAAATTACTTGTAGATGAAATGCAAGTTTGCAAGCCAGAAGGCTGTCATATAGCTACAGGGGTGGTGGGGGATAGAGGTTCATTTACATTGATGTTCCCAGGAAAAGAAGCCACTCTCGAGGTAAACTGTTTTGGACATCCCCTTTGCTTGTAAAGACACCTGAAGTCTAAGCAAGCTATTTTCTATATTTCAGCTTTGGAAGGCATCATCTGAATTTTGTGCGATGAGATCATTGTGCATAGTTTCTCTTGCACAACGCATGATAACATTATCTCGATCTTGTACAAATGCTAGCAGGTACTGAGAAATCTGTTCCTTTTCTTCTAATTTGGGTTTATATCCTACACTGTGCAAGATTGTTATCTTTTATATTATATTCTCAAATATTACATAGAAAACATAGTTCAATGAATCAAAAAGTTTTCTACACATACTAAATTGTGTGAAGTATTCAGCAAGGTTTGTATCTATATTCTGTGTACTGATTCTCACTGTAGTTCAGTCAGGAATTTTTTTTAACAAGTTCAGTCATGATTTTTTTTTTCTTGAACTAGTTCATTCAGGAATTCATAAGTTCCATGAAGGCTAATAAACCTCTTCCTGTTTGCTTTGCACATGTTCCATGCTTATCTAGATAACAGTGGCTGTGCAAATGAAAATTTCATGTTTACTACTCCCTCCGTTTAAGGTTATAAGATGTTTTGACTTTGGTCAGAGTCAAACTGTTTCAAGTTTGACTACGTTTATAGACAAATATAGTAATATTTATAATATTAAATTAGTTTCATCAAATATATAATTGAATATATTTTCGTAATAAATTTGTCTTGGGTTAAAAATGTTACTAATTTTTTCTATATACCTGGTCAAACTTAAAGCAGTTTGACTTTGACTAGAGTCAAAACGTCTTATAACCTGAAACGGAGGGAGTACATTTTTGAAGTGTCTTCTTTCATGTCAGTGATTCAATGAAATTGTTGATTAAATGCATAAAAGTGCACTATTGTCATTATTCCTTGATGTTTTCCATTAAATCATAAAGAAAAGAAAACGTTTGCTACTGCAATTTTGCGATGCTGTATATGCTCCTGTTTTTGTTAAGAATAGCTGATACAATCCAATGGTTATGGAGGAACCACTTTGTTGTAGCCACAAGTTATTACACTTTGTCAAGAAGTAAAAATTGTGAACACAAGTTACTAATTACATGAAAAAATTATCAGGTGTTGTCGTAGCATAATTCGACTTACAGGTGGTAGCCAGCTTTCATATTGTTCAAGATCTAGCTGGGTTTGTCCCATCAATTCTGATATAATCGTATGTTTAGTTGTTTCTTACAAATGTGGCAGTATGCACGAAAAATTTGTTTTCTTCACCATTCTGATATCCACTCATTGTTTCTGTTGTAGTGCCTTGGCAGCATTTTATACAAGGAATTTTGCTGAGAAAGTACCGGATATAAAGCCTCCATCCCTTCAGGTTCTACTATTCTTTCTCTGTTTTACCGTTGTTATCAAAATCTATTTTTTAATTTGAAAACAGAACTTCTACACTGGTCTCTTCCTTGTGAAGAAACCAGAATAATATTGCTGTTGTTGCATTTGCATCTAGAAAATTGAGTTACAGTATCTGTGAATAACTGAGTATGTGATTCTGCCTGGAGGCGAGATGGTTTAGTTTATATGTGTGATTTCCTAGTTTCATTGGGTTCATATTGAATGTTAGATGAGCTGGTGGTACCTAATTCTCTAGGACCAAACTGTGGCCCCTCTATTCTTGGATACTGTTGCTACACAAAACAATATTTCAGCTGTTGAACCCTGATTTAGTGCTGTAAAATAGGTCAGGTAAGTTGTAATGTAGTATGCCATTTAAAGGGACATATTATGTAATCATTCAAGTGTCATTAACTAGTACTTAGATTTGGCCACATGGTATGACTTTCCTGTGAAATGATTGGAGTAGTGTGGTTGGGATCTTATATTTTTACAGATGACATGAAGGCATTTTCCTCGTCACTCTTCTGCGATAGGGATAATCTGTGACTGGTATTCATTTTTGAGAAAAAAGAAATCCTTCCCTCTGTGTTTGATCACGTTTGATTACGCTATCGAGTTAAGTTGTATTCTTTATATGCCATTGTGTTCCCTCTACTTTGACATAGAAGGAACAGAGGCATATTCAATGGCGAGTAAATAAGGAATAGATTTTCTCATCTTTTTTTACAATTCCAGATGGCAAAACCTTACTAGTGAATGTCTATTCTGATACTATGACATATTCCTTTAGCTCATGTGATGTACATGGCAATGTGCTTTTTAAGTAAAGCTGCAACTGTTGTGTTCTGTGGATTTGCTTAGGGCAGCAGTATCATTTATCCTTTATAAAGAAAGCTCATGTATTTTGTAGGAGTTTGCAGGTGTAAATCGTAATTTGTAGAGCATATAAAATGCAGCACAGAATAAGTAACAACATTCTGTAGGAACGGTAGTTCTAACATAGACGCTGCAAAAGGTTTGTCCATTTTTTTTCTTGAAAATGCAGCAGAGCTGTGTATTATTTCATTAAGAAAGAAGAAATAAAGGTTAGGCTCTATACAATTTATTTGTATCCGTTGCAGATATGGTCAGGTAGAGAGATAAGGGCTCTATACACTCCCTATTGTTCACATTTTTCCATGTAAAATGGGAAGATTTCATATTTAGCACCTGTTAGTATTCTGTTGAGTGAAAATTTTCTGGCTCCATCCCTGATATATGTTTTAAGAATGAAATGCCCATATTTGATGAATTTCATGACCAACTTCCATAGTAGTTTCGACAGCAACAATTAAGTGGGAGGAATTTGCATGGAAAATTCAACTTCTTTATTGTTTGTGACTTCACTGACTTGTGACTAGCTTGTCGAGAGCATCCAGGTCAGATCTTAGCGTGGCCATTGTTGGCTGACATTATCATGTTGACATATTTCAAAACATTCATTTGATTGGAAATTACTGATCAGTAAACTGTGCTGATCATAGATGTGACCGTATTTCATCACTTGCTTCTGTTATACAAGGGTTTGAAAAGATCATTTATTCAACCTATCCATGAGTACCAACCTGGCACCTCATGGCTTATTTCCAGTTCATTGTAGATATTAGGGAAATGAACTTATTTGACTTGGTGTTTGTTTGTTTTTCTGCATATTTATTTTGTTGCAAAGTACATGAAAGCAGAACAATGTGCTTGCAAATAGAATCTGCTAAGTGCCTAATGGATAACCAAGTAAATGCAATTCTTATGGATTTACAGCTTCTGGTGAGCTTTTGGCAACATCCTTCTGAACATGTGCGAATGGCTGCACGCTCCCTGTTTCACTGTGCAGCTCCACGTTCTATCCCCAAACCCCTCCATTTGCAGAAAAACAAAGTATTTGATTCCCAGTTGCCTACATCTGATCAGATGGACAATATTATTACTGCAATTCAGAGTGCCTCTGTATCTAGTTATGGACAGTTAAAAGCGGATAATGAAGATGTTGGGAGAGAAGATTGTGATACTTCTGAGATAAGCTCATGGTTGGAATCATTTGAAAATCAAGAGTGGCTATCTTGGATTGGAGGAACAAGTCAGGATGCAGTGGCATCAAATATCATTGTTGCAGCTGCTTTGGTTGTTTGGTACCCAAGCATCGTGAAACCTAAGCTTGCTCATTTGGTTGTTAATCAACTAATCAAGTTAGTTATGTCGATGAATGATCGTTATAGTTCAACGGCAGCTGAACTTCTAGCAGAGGGAATGGAAAGCACATGGAAAGTATGTTTAGGCACTGATATGACTCATTTTTTGAGTGATGTCCTTTTCCAAATTGAATGTCTAAGCAGTGCACCTTCCAACAATGCTGTCTATAAAACTGCAGTTGCTGTCACAATGCGGGAGGCATTGGTTGGTACTCTCTTGCCAAGCTTGGCTATGGCTGACATAGTTGGATTTTTTGGCGTAATACAAAGCCAAATCTGGGCTACTTCATCTGATTCACCTGTTCATGTAATTTCACTTAAAACTCTCATTCGAGTTGTTCGAGGTTCTCCAAAGGCCTTGGCTCCTTACCTTGACAAGGTATTAAATGTTCTTCCCTTATTTGAGAGGACTAATGCAGCTAACATGCATTGTGGCTTCCAACCTTTTATAAACATACTTTTTTAATACATTGCAAGCCTTTTGTTTGTTGAGAAGTCATATGCTTTGTTTGATATTTTACATAATAATGTGTTTGTATTTAAACCTCAAAATGCTTTTGCTACACCATGATATTTGTAGACCTCAGATGTGTCGGGAAAACAAATAGGGGCTGTTTTTAACAAGCTGGCATGAATATGTCATTCATTATGTGCAGACTTAACTGAATTTTTTCTTTTTAAGAGGAAGAAAAATTAGCTACTTATTCTTATTAATGCTTATGACCCACAAGGCCATAGCCCGTAGGTGGCGAGTTCAGAGCATGGTAAAGTATTGCAACCTGCATTTAGTTGAGCTAGAGAGCTGAGGTGATACCACTGGGCTTAAGCAACTGTTGGACTTTAACTCTTTTCATTAGTTCATTCAAATAGTCAAGATGCTTTGAATTGAATCATTCCTCCTTATAGTTCTTATTGTTAAATGATCATGCAGGCAATCAGCTACGTCCTACACACTATGGATCCAAGCAATTTAATTATGCGTAAAGCTTGCATTATTAACTCAATGATGGCTCTGAGAGAAATCGCACGGGTATTTCCTATGGTTGCCCTCAATGAATCGATGACAAGATTAGCTGTTGGTGATGCTATTGGGGAGATACATAATGCCACAATCCGAGTTTATGACATAGAAAGGTACAAAGGCTTTCAAGCTGCAGTAGTTTGTTTTGTTGAACCTGTTAAATTGTGCAATTTCTGTCCGTCAGTATAACAATTCACTTGTTACCTATTTTGTTTACCTGTTGGTTGTGATCAGAACATCCTGACCTGTCATTTTATGTGATTAATAATTTTTTGTGTTATTTTCAAATCAGCCTATGCCTATCATTGGTATACCATGATTTCCTTTTTCTTTTCTGTCTTTATCAGTGACCTATCATATTTGTATCACTGATGGCATATTGTTGTCACAACATATATATACATTAATAATGTCACTGGAATTTATGTGTTTATGCTTTTCTTGATAATTGTAGGAGCATAAAATAGTTGATCTTCATTAAAAGCATTTTTTTTTCTGTAGTATACTTGATTTCCATGGAACTGCAAATGGTTTTAATCTTAATCTATCTAGTACTATTACTGATCTATGACCATAAACATGGATTGAGAGGGTTCTGTGTACTTTATTCATCTTCAGTTTCTTCATTTCCCTTTTTTTTTTCTTGGCAGTGTCACGAAAATAAGGATTCTTGATGCAAGTGGACCACCAGGTCTTCCAAGTTTGCTTGATGGATCATCGAATACAACGGCAACTATACTGATAACAGCTTTGAGTTTTTCACTGGAGGGAGAGGTTTGATACTACGAACTTACTAAAATCAGATGGTCTAAATGAAATACATAAATTGATACATGCGATCTTATTCTACTTGCAGCATAGTAACTTAAGTTTCTCCCAAAGTATTTGGAGTAACTCCCCAGTCTATCCAGCTGAACAAAAATCATTTTTCTTGTAAAAAAAGTTACTTTACCATCTTTGGCTTAAAATGTTCCAAAAAAATATTATGAGTTGCACTTGCATGATACATAATTCGATTGGATGTAACCCACATTTGATATCCTACATGCAGTGCAAAACAGCTTGCGTGATGGTATATGTGCTGTTAACTCTCTTAAAACTTTTATTACTAAATTTTATCTCTAAATTTCAATGTTATTTGAACTGACATATTGCAATAATAATCTGCTGTGTTGTATAGACCATAGAGCGTAAGAAACAGCATACTTTTGGACCTCAAGAGTAACATTTTTAATATCACCAATTTAAACCTGCTCGCACATATTAAGATACAATGCTTTCATTTTGCTCAATTATTATTTGTGATAATTAGCCCTGTTTCCTGTTGGATGAAATATCTAGCGCAATAGCTAAATGCAGTGGATTGGTGCAAAAAGTCTGGATATTGATTATTGAATCAACATGAGAAATTCTGAAATTCTAAATGTGAAGTGCTTCTGAAATTTCTCTACGCTGCTAGTAAACAAAGAGAAAATTCTGCCAATGGTTCTAAAAAATATTTTAGAAAACTAAAACCAGCTGTGATTATTCATTGCAAAACTTTTTGTTTAATGTACTTTAGAGTTGGAACTTCAAAACTTACAGGGCTGTGCATGATGGAGACTTCACTTGCACTTTTTTTTCCTAAATTCTATATGAACTCAAAGCTAAATGGTTTGGTACTCGTGTACCAATTGCTTGATGTCCTATTGTCGTTCATCACAGGAGTTAGCCAAACAGTTATATTTTATTACACATACTGTAACAACGAGAGAGATGTTATGATAAAGATGGATTATCAGAGATTATAGGAAGCATTTTACGACATCTGTGCCAATAGACTATCTAATAAGCTACCTTGAAATAGCATTTACTTTTTTTTCATATACCACTTCAGAAATAAGCCACCTTATTTACCAGCTGCTGGTACCCAAGTTAGAAGGTCATAAGAGTTCTGCACTTATTTGCTTCTGTAAAACACATCTTTTTTTTTCTTTTTTTTTAATTTTGCCATTTTGGCATGACAGCTCGGTTTGAGGTTTCTTTATTGCTTTTCCATGTCCTTTTTTGGGTGAAATATCAGTTTTCTGCACCATGTCATCCTGCCTAATAGAACACCATGCCCCATGATATGGATTTTGTTCTAATTCTTGTGCTACATCTAAGGCGATTATGCCAAGTCTGTGCCATGCAAAACCTGAATTATCTCTAAGGAGTATTGCTTATGGATGTGTCTAAAAATCATATTTCATTGGAGATGGCTTTCTGGCATGTGTACCTCTTTGCGTGAAACATGAATCTTGATTATTATTTGCTGTTTATATATAAAAAGATGTGTTTTTGGCAAAGATTGTTTTAAATGATATATAAGCTTTATTTGAAGCTATAATTATGAGAATATGTATGTGCAGGAATTTATATTTGTAAATTTTGACAGTATGTTCTCCTCTTTTGCTAGGGTCTTGTTGCTTTTTCTGAGAACGGACTGATGATTAGATGGTGGTCACTAGGCAATGCCTGGTGGGAGAGACTCAGCAGAAGTCTTACTCCTATCCAATGCACAAAGCTTATCTATGTTCCTCCATGGGAAGGGTTTTCACCCAATTCAGCTCGTCTAAGTATAATTTCAAGCATTTTAGGACATGATAAACATCAAAACTCAGAGGTATACTTTTTATTATTATCTTCTCTGATCATGTTATATTTTGGATGATTGAAACTATTGTTAATCCTGGTCAAAAGCTAAGTTATACCGTTAGCTTCATCTATTTTGTAATTTTCATTCTCACTTATGGACTGGTCTACCCCAGCACCTGCCCTCCAAAAACATGCGCTGAGGGAGTGAAGGTCTACATTCAGTTGGATCTACTTTAGCTGTGCTTAGTAATTTTGATGATCATAATTGGAATTCAGTCATCGTGATAAGTTATATTGGAATTCAGTCATCCTGATAAGTGATAACTAGCAGGCGTGGGATTATTTCATAATACTATTCAAAGTTTTTTTTTCAAAGAATAACTATAGGTGGAACTAGGTGTTCATTTGTTCATTCAAAGGCCCTCAAAACCAAACTGAAGTTTTGAAGTTATCCTAAAAAAAGGTTACTAGACTAGTTATTTGATCATGTTTTTTGTGTAACTGTTCAATACTTGAAAATAAGCTGAAATCTTTATATTTAAAACCAATTCAAAATTTATGAACTTGTGTCTTCTACTCTTCTACAACCGTGATTGTCTGTACATTATGCACTTCAAAAATTTTTCAAACAATATGTTAGAAATTGTGAGCATGCCAAAATTGGTGCAAAAATATTTGTGTTCTGTAAAATATAAAAAAGGAAGTTATATTTCCCAAGATACATATAGCTCTTTGTACAGTGAACAGTGATAATATTTCTGAATATTCTTTTTAAAAACTGGATGTTTTTTTTTAAAACAAATTCACAAAGTGTGCAAACCATAACATGTGCACTTTACTTGTTATATCTATAAGTTAAGCTGTTAGAGAACAAACTTATCTGCCTAAGGAGCTGTGAGGAAACAAAGGAGCCAGTTCCTGAGAAGCTTGCAACATTTTGTCCTAACAGCATTGTTTTGATCACCTTGTTGGCACTGTCCCAATTCCTAACTTGAGTTCTATAATTCCGCATGGTTGTAGAGATTTTAGCTAGACCCTGTCGTCTTGTTAAAGATTTGTTTTCCAGGAAAATATTGTCCTTGAAAATTCTAGTTTAAGAGTTACTAAACTAAAACTACTCATACCCAAATCACTCATTTGATTTATACCAAATTTCATTTCAACTTGTTATGGAAAAATGAATCGATTTGAAAGAGTCTGCCAATACCATGTACAAAATCTTCCTATTTGCTTTCTTTTTGCTGCAAGGAATGATTAAATGGGAGATGATGATGTAGTTGAGTACTAAGGATATTTCCCCCCATTTACCATTTCATGTTAACTTTGTTTCTATCTGTTTTTTTTAATCTGAATTATGTGTATTTGGTTCTGGCCTTTGCAGACCAAGACAAGAGAACTAGATGAGGCTGATAATTTGAAGCTGTTGCTTCATAATCTTGACCTTTCTTACCGCCTTCAGTGGGTCAGTGGAAAAACTATTAAGCTTACAAGGCATGGTCAGGAGTTGGGTACATTTCAGCTGTGATGAATGAGTATGGAATCTTGTTGAGTTGCTTTTGAGATGATACTGATGTAGTGAAATATGATCCAAGTGGCTCAAAAGCTTAGCCAGAACCATCATGCGGACAATCATTTGCCATGTAAGTCACTTCACTGTTTTCTCAGTTATCAAAGCATTTCTTGTGCATATAAAATTATGCTTCTTAGGGGTTCCTATGTATGTCAAATTTAAGCTGAAGGAAGCACCACATTCTGGTTACAGGATGTTTGCATGGAGGGATCTGGAAAAAATGTATCTGTTTCACATGCTCCAAGTGCAGCGTGCTTTCAGGGTTGCAGTGATTTTGCATGATGCAACAATGTATTACTCCATTGGCAGAAATATACCTTGGAGTAGTACCAACCAAAGGTGGAGTTTCTAGTTACAGTATTTTCTTTTAGAAGTCTACGGTGGTGTTTGAATAGTACTTCCTCCGTCCCACAATACTTGTCTCTCTAGCATTCAAAAATTGTCCCAAAATAGTTATCACTTAGAAGTACCACTTGTCACATCAACCACTTCCAATTCAAATTTCTCTCCACTTAGAAGTACCACTTGTCACACCAACCACCATTCCACATCTAACTATGTAATATTTTATTAAGGGTATTATAGTCTTTTTCTTATAACCTTAGCACATGCTAAACAATCTAGAATGACAAGTATTCTGGGACGGAGGTAGTAAAATTTTAAGCATTCTTGATATTTTTTCTTCGCTTATTTTTCAATGATTCAATTTACCTTTTTGCTTTCTGTTAAGTGCAAAATTTGAAGTACTACTTTTTGTAGATTAGAATTTCAAAAAAAGTAGTAGCATGAGATCCCTGGTCCAGAAAAGTTCCAAGCGTATTTTGAGTTATGTGTGCCACTTGGCTGGTGGTAGAGCTGCTATTTTATTCTGCTACTTGTATTGTGCATACAATCAATAATTATGTTTTGTAGGTTTAGTTCGTTGTGTAGCCGTGAAGTATCACGAGCACAATCACTATAAAACATGACATATTTAACTATTTGCCACTCTTACAAGTGGCAATTAAGGATTTGCCATTGGACCCACATGTCATAGACACATGAGGGCCCACATGTCACGCAAATCCTTAATTACCACATCTTAAAGTGACAAAAAGTTAAATGCCCCATTGTGAGAGGAAGATTCTAGAGTTATCAAAATTTGGTAATGGAGGCAAGTTTTGGCAATGTTTTAGATTTTTACCTTGCCAAATTTTGGTGAAGCCAAAACTTGGTAAGGTTAATTTTGGCAATAAAGTGAACATCAAGTTGTGTATGCTCTGCTCTTTTGACCCATTTAAAAGACTGCTCATGATGCAAATTGTTCTGCAGTGCAGTTCCTGGAACCATCCGGAGTTTCCACGAGTTCATGATCAGCTGACAGATTATACTTTGAAGAGTTGAAATTGGAAAGGCATTTGAATTACAGGAGTCACTTGTTCATAAAGTCGCTGGGGCGGGCATGGACCTTTCTTCATCCTGCACGTCCTAGAGAAGCTAACCCTGATGTAGTTTAGGGACAGGCTGTATACATTTCCCCAAAGAGGTTATATATAGTAGATAGACCTAGTGGCTTTGATTTTGAGCTTTAACAAAAGGATTTATAAACTGTTGACATCTCCTTATTATTATCGATGGGTAGCATGACCTCTGTAAGATATAATGTATCACGTGATCTATCTCAAGGGATGCTACATTAGTGTCCATTAGGAGTAAGGTGTTTTTAGCAAATTTTCAGAGGCTCGCAATAAATTAATGATCTTATTAGTGTCCATTTTGAATGTTACTCCCAAGGCATGGGAGTTTGTCCACAAGTACTAACGCTTAAGTAAACGAACTAAAAGTAGATTATAAACTATTCCATCTGGGCATAAATATTTGATTTTAGGCTGGATAGTATTTAATTAAAATTTTGAAAACTTTGACCGTTAACTGTTAACTTTATATGAGAACAAGTTTATGATATTATAATAGTACTTCTCAAACAAGCAAATATATGGATACTTTTTTATGCTAATTATTTGAGAAATTATAGGTTGCCAAAGTTTTATAGTTTGATAAAATCTTATCTTAAACGGTAAATATTTTATTTTAATGTACTTTTAATTGAGCTAATGTGCATCATTTATGGCTGTGCTTGGTTCAAATGTGGATTATAATTCAAAGTGGCTTTGAAGTTGTTAGTTCGAATTTTGAAGAATGATTTTAGGTAGATTATTAACTTCTTTTAACAATCATGAAAGATGTTGGCAACAATAACGATGAAAAAATCCTCTAAAATTAACTATAAATTTCAAAATATGTTCGGACCTAGTAATAAAATAGGCTGATACATAATATATCTTTACTATTAGAAAAATTGTATCTCTACCAAAGTTGTTTTCATGGTATAATTTGGTATGTCGTCGCTTACATCCGTCCATTCTCGCGCACGTTGCGTTTTTTTCCCATTTGGGTATCCAATCGTCGTGCATTGCTTTTACATTCTGTGGATTGCGGTAGTTAGTGGGGAAAAAAACACGTTATAAGGAACATGTCTTAAAATTACATTTTTTTCTTACAAGTTTACACGTTATAATTTTCTTAAACCTGTATAATATATCGTATTTATCAAAAAATATAATAAGTAGAAAATACATAATAATATGAGCAACATTGTAGAATTTATATTCCCTCAAAAAGAAGTAGTTTTAGAAAGTTATAGGCAATTAAGTACGAGAAATAAAAAACATACTCTCCATTAATACAGAGAGAAAAAAACAAGGAGGGTAACAACACGAGGAGAAGAGAGTAAATGGTTGAGGAGGAGAAAGGGAGGAGAAGAGGGTAAATGGTTGGATGGCTAAAATAAGAAGAAAAATATTAAGTAGTAGTATTAAGATATTAGACCTTATAACTTATAAAATACTCTCTGTGAGATCTCTACTATTATAAAAATTAAAGATGTTTTTGCCGGTATTTTGGTACGTCATCCGTGTATGAGTCGGTTTTTAAGTTCGTTTGCTTTTGAAAATACATATCCGTATTTCAGTCGGTTTTTAAGATTGTTCATTTTTGGTAATACAGAAGGAATCATATAAGAAATCTGTTTAAAAAAACTCGAATGCTAACTTGAGACGATCGGACTCATAACTACATCATATGATTTTCTAAGAATATCTAAGCGAACTCTCACAGTGAATTTTATATTAACGAAACAATAATAAGAATAAAATAGACTTCACCCGTTGCAACGCACGGGTATTTTTTCTAGTAAATTAAAAGATATAAAAGGATATTTTTTAAGGATGGAGGGAGTAGAACACTTGTACGTACGTGTATGGCAGCTCACTCACATCACCGTTTCGTTCCACGCGTAAAACATAAAAATAAAAAATTACCGTGACTAGCTAGAGCAATTTCCATGTAGGCCTTGTTCGGTTGCTTGGGAAATAATCCCAAGGAGAACCTATCAGGGGAGGAATTAGGTGAATCCCTTCCATATTAACCAATCTGTGGGGTTTGAATCCATTGCATTTTTCAAACCCCTCTCTTAAAACCATGCGTTCGTTTTGGCAGGGATTTGGCACATGCATCAATTTCACACATGCATCAATTCAGCTAACATAACCACGTCTGATGTCTCAGTGCAAGAATTGCACTATGGATTAATCATTAAAACAATGATATTGTAGTATCATCAAGGCCTAGAGCTCAAAGATAATGATTTCACAAACATGTCTGAATTCATGCAAAAATATAGCAGCAGCATCAATTAATGCCACAGGGTGAGGATGCCACCCTCACAATTAGGCCCTTGACGTTTCTCATAATTAGAATGTCTGGTCATCCAAGAACATAAGCCTCACAAACCCCTCAAGCCAGTACACTCACCCCATCACCTTCACAATAGCCCGTTTCATCTGGATCATGAACAAAGATCTTATTAGTTGTCAAGGTCAGCTAGATGCTTACCACAAACAGTTGGATAAAATTGTGCTTGAGCAAGAAAAACCCATGCTTCAATTAAGTGACCTAGGAAACAGCCAATAAAATAAAACATCCAAGATCAGACAGATCAAAACAAAAAAAAAGTTCTATTCCACACTGACATCCTAGGAAGTTGCTTGGAACACATCAGCCCTCACAAGTTATAAACATGCATAATGTCCTTATTTCCACTCATACACAATCTGGTAAATTTAGTATAATTATCTAATTAAATTCTTATTTTGCCACTCCTAGTATATACCCAGTTTAATTACATAAAAAAGAGTATTTGCCCAAATTGTATAGTGATTGCACTTTTACTGTCAGCAAATGTGGCCAAAGTTCAGAGACATACCTTGAGGATGTCTCACCATAGTATTAAAAGAAATCTGCAGCAAATACTTATTAAAAATCTTCTCCCACTATATTGCTACTATACTTTCAGTAATCGTCCAAATGATTTTCTAAGGAGAACGAAGCAGAATTAAATTGCAATATGTTTAGAATTAAATTATCTTCTCCCACTTTTGATTTTTCACTAATCAACACAGGCTCAGGTAGCGGCACTGGCCCATCCTCAGTACCGAGCAGCGAGGATGGTTGTCGGGGTGAGCCAGGAACACAAGCTCGAAGAAAACCCTAGGTCATGGCCACCCACATGGAAGAGGAGAGGGGAAGGAAGAGAGACTCACCGGTGATAAGGTGGCCACCGGAGGGGAGAGCGCCACCTCGCCGTCGCCGTCGCCTTTGAGTCGCCCGCCGCCGCACGCGCTGCATCCTGCGCCATCTCGTGGATATTTTCCACATGTTTTTCCCGGCCCAGAATGAGGGGAAAGGCCGGGGTAGGCCTGGATCCAATCCTTCCCAGGCTTAACTGAACGCAATTTTTTTGTTGGCCGGGCTTTAATCCAAGCCGAGCCGAGTGCCTGACCCCGCCCAAAACTAACAAGGCCGTACGGAATTACGGATGACTAGGAAAACTTTCCAAAATCTAACCTCTCCTTGTACGAGGAGGATTCGTTTTCACCCCCTCAATTCAAATCTTCTCCGTGTCCGTTTTCACCGCCTCTCCCTCCCTCCCTCCCGCCTTTTTTTTTTTTGCAACACTTTCCACTTCATAAACTCCTTGCGCGCCGCCGCCGCCGCTATCACCGCACCGCCGCGCCGCATCCTTCAGTTTAGGGAAGAAGCAGCGCCGCCGCGCGCCGGCGAGCGATGGTTCATCCGCGCGGGAGGCCGAGCAAGGGGCGGCAGGCGATCGGGATCCGCCGCATCGAGGACAAGCCCGGCGGCACGTCACCTTCACCAAGAGGCGGGCCGGGCTGTTCAGGAAGGCCTCGGAGCTCTCCATCCTCACCGGTGCGGCCGTCGCCGTCCTCGTCTTCTCCGAGGCCAACCACCCGTACACCCTCACCGACCCGTCGTCATCCCTCGTCGACGACGCCGTCCTCCGCAGCCGCTGCTACGCGCCCGCCCCCGTGTCCACGACTGCGAGCCCGAGGCGTTGAGGCGGGCGGCGGACGAGGCCAAGGTGGAGGTGGCGCGGCTGCGCGACGTCGCGGGGAGGCGGTTCTGGTGGTGGTGGGAGGCCACCAACGTCGAGGCGCTCGGGGAGGCGGAGCTGCCGGAGTTCGCCAGGGCGCTTGGGAGGGTCAGGGCCGCCGTCGTGCGCCGCCACGCGCTCTGACGCGATGCTCTCCGCGCAGCTGCCGAATTAAGCAGCCGTAGCATCGGAGGAAGAAGACGCAATCAATGCACACACACGCTAGCTTCTTCTTCTAATTACGTGCCTAATCACACGCTCATCGCCCGGTTAATCAATCAATCACGAGGTCATCACCCAGTGAATTAATCATGTCACTGGTGCTACTAATTGCTTCTCGTCGATCTCGTTTGTACCCAGTTTCTTCCTCATTTGAATGTATATATATTAGTTTTGTTTCAGTTGATGTCTCTGATCGTAGAACAGCAGTGGAAGAAGAGATCATGTACGTATTTTCATTTGACAGGTTTTGTAGATTTGCTTATGGCATTTTGGAAGGAATTAATATAACCGATATCTTCAAGAAAGTTTGGATCATGGAAAGGATGTTTGATTCAACCACATTTGCTGTGTCATAATCGCTCGTCATTGTCTGACCTGACTGATCCTTTTCATCGCTCTTCCTACCATTAGTTCACGTACAGCAGAGTATCGATATTTTCTTAGCTGAAATTACAGACAGGATTATAAACTTTATACCATGGCAATCAAAATCTTTGTCTTAAATGTAAAAATTGATCGTCCATATATCTTTCGTCCAATATCTCTCTCCTATATCCTAGTAAGGGTTTGTTCGCTTAATCCCATATAAAAGTGGTTGGAGGGAGATTAACTCCAGACCTCAAACCCCCTTGATATTTTTATATTTTAATTATGGTGGGAATTATGTATGCTAGATCCAAATATGTTCTAATTTTGTACTAACATTACTATAGGAGTACATAGTAACAACAACTTTACCTACGCAAGCTACTTCTGAAGGACAGTTGGTGGATGGCTCGGTCAGATCGCTATTCATTGTTCAACGCGCTCATATCCTTACCGTGTTGTCCTGGTGATAAATATCAAGCATCTTCTTCTGTAGTCTCCATGGAGGCTACAACCAAATTAAGCCTAGATAGTTGCTAGTTCCAGGAACTCTAGGGGTAGCTCAAAGAAAAAACGAGAGATAACGAAATAAAAAGTCAAATTGCCAACGTACGGTTGAAATCTGAGAAACCATGATACGTACAAAACTCGCCAAATATATCTGAGATAGAGGTATGAGGGAATGGGCAAAAATAATCCGAGAGGTAGGTCATGAGGCAAAAATTAAAGCAGTTCACTGTGCTAGGAGATGGAGGCACCAGGATTTCTTAAACGGGTAGCTTCTATTCCACATCGTCACATACTGTGAAGAAATGTGGACAGAAGAGCTTTGATCGCGCCGTGAAGTATACTCTTTGTGGAAGTTTGCTAAGTCCATGCGGCCTGCAGGATGTTAGAGACAGTAAAAGGAATTCAAGTGGGCTGACCCGCAAATTCATTTATATGTCAAATAAGTAACCGATGAGTTCCCGCGTCATGGCTCGGCTTGCTGCACCTAGGGATGTAAGATGTAAGTGAGTCAACCCGTGAATTCACTTATAGGTCAAATTAATAAGTAACCAGTGAATCAATCCGTGACTTACCCACTAATTTTTTATATATATAGAAAAAATGCCCATGCGTTGCAACGAGTAGAAATATTTTTGGAATGCTATACATTTACTTTTTGGTTTTGGACCAAAAGCTCATTTCATTCCTTCTTCAAGTGGAGCTGTAGGTCCTCGATCCTCCCCATCAAATCTGGTCAAATCCTCCGCATCAAATCCAGTCAAATCTTTCTCAATCTTTAAAATTGGTTGAGGGTTTTTGATACACTAGTTCCCCTTTTCATTTTTATTAAAATAGGAGCGACAAAAACTCAGGATAAAAATGATAATTTTTAAAAGGCGATTAAATTCAATGAATTAAAGCGGAGTTAAAAGGGAAAATCGTAAGGAAAATGGTGAGGAGTAATGGGGAATTGATTTTTGGCAATCAATTGGAGGAGGGAACACATGGAGAGGTAGATCAACGTTGCGGCAACGCTAGTGTTCGGCCGCGCGATGAAAAAAGCATGGCACAAATCCTTACTGCGTGCGGAAAAATGCAACTTAAAAACAACAACGAAGAAAAAACATATGAAAGAGCCTGGAAAAAAGGCCCAGAAAAAAAAGTGAAAAGCAGATGAAAAAAAGCAGAAAAAAAGATGGACAAAAAAACAGAAAAAAAAGAAAAAAGAAAAAGGGTGAAAAGGACGGAAATAAAAAAAAGCCCAATACGCGGTTTTTTTACCGGTTTTCTCCATCCGATTTGTTTTTTCGTCTTTTCTGCACGCGGATTTTTTCCCCGGTTTTTTTCACGCGGTTTTTCCCGTCTGATCAGTTTTTTTCGCAGCCGTTTTTTTACGACGGAGTGAAAAAAAAGGAAAACTGACCAAAAAAAAAAGGAAAAAAACAGCGAAAAAGAAAAAAAAAGACGGACGAATTTTTTTTACGGAAACCTTGTGTATTTTTTAATTATACTAGCATAATGCCCGTGCGTTGCACGGATGACGGATGATAGTGGGTGTTTGAAGTTTGATCAAAGTCGTGTTGTTCTTGTCCATTAATCTTCTTTATATTTGTGGGATATATATTTCTAAGTAGATAAGCCTAAAAAAATGAGAGAACTATAGGAATATACCCGTGCGTTGATATGTGAAGAAAATGCTTGGAGTTGAAAAATATTGCTCCCTTCATAAAACATGAGCTGAACATTGTGAAGATAAGGAGATCCTCTGTGTAACAAAACCAAATAGGCAAATTTTGCTACAGGACATCGTGACTTCACGGTTTTAATTAGCTGTAGGACACTACACAGAGTAACTTTTGGGATGACACTCTTAAAAGTTGGATATTTGCTAGTGACAACACGCTCTCCTTTATCTCCTCCTTATCCGGTTCCAGCTCCTTGGGCGGCCTCACCGCGTCCACCCCAGCCACCTTGCCGAACGCGTGCACGAAAACAGATTCGTCAACTCCGCCGGCCATGCCACGTCCAATTCCCACTCGTCTGCGAGCTTCTCCATCACATCGCGCGTACCGACGCAGGCCACCGTGACACGCCTATTGTGCAGGAATGCGAGGAGCCGCGCCATCCTTCCGCCGTCCTTGTGGAAAGGAAGCACGCTGACGGTGTACTTGGACTGGTTGCAGTCGGGCTAGTACACAAGGCATGGGAGCCGCTGATGTAGATCACGACGTAGCGGATCGGGGTGCTGGGGTCCCGAGGATGGCCGCGCACGCCCTTCTCGTCCCCATGGGCACTAGTTGTTGGGCGGTGCGTGGCCACAGAGCACGATGAGGCCGAGGACGAAGGGTGCGGAGAGGCGGTGGCCACGGTATAGCAGCGTGATTTCCCGGAACCACTGCATGTTGTCCACGTCACGCTTGGGGTAGGTGACGTCGATGAGGGCGAGGTCATCGTCATCGTTGCCGATGCAGAGGACAACCTCCCTTCTGGTCGACGGCGCCGGATCCGTAGTCGCACATCGACACACAATGATTTCACATCACAAGAACGCATCTCACATCAACAAATGAACTCTCACATCACAAGAACACATCTCACAGCAACAAATGAACTCAAAAACGCATCTCACAAATCACAAAGAATCACAAATAACAAAGAGAGAAGGAGAGGGAGAGATAGATTCGCCGGTCGCCGACGCCGTTGCCCCACCTCCACGCCGGCCACTGACGCATGCTGCCGCTCTGCCAGGCCCCCATGCCTCCCTTCCGCTGGATCTGCAAGGGGAGGGAGGGGAGGGGCCGCGCGCCGCTGGATCTACCACCCCCTCCGCCGGATCTGCCGCCCCCTCTACCGGATCTGCAAGGGGACGGAGGGGAGGGTCCGCCGTGGTCGTCTGCCGCCGCTGGCTCTCGCCGCCCTTCTTCCCACCCGCAGTCAAGGGAGAGGGAGGGAGGGGCCGCGCGCCGCCACATGCTGTCGCGCCGCCGGCCGGCTGGGAGAGAGGGGAAAAGAGGAGAGGAGAGGAGAGTGGGAGGAGAGGAGTGGAGTGGGGGAGAGGGAGGTGGGAGGAGAGGAGCGGGCGGAGGGGGAGATGTGTGTGGGCGCGGTTAAAAGCGGTGGGCCCGTGCGGGTGAAAATTTGGGTGCGGTTGGCTTAAGCCGCCCACGCGGGATACTGTGTTTTCCTGTGTGGGCGACAGCCCAGCGCCTGTCCCCTTATTTTTCCATGCGGTTCTACATACAGACCGCATGGAAACAAAAGGGTGCAGTGTCCAGGAAAATATATCATGTAGTAGTGTCGCAGATAAAAAATAGTTTTGCATATTTACTCATAGTCACTTTTGCATATTTACTCATAGTCTCTAGTGGTCATGCGTGCTTTCTCGATCTGTCAACTCAAAATTATACGTGGACTCACGTGGAGACAGGTCATGTGACACGTGGATGATAGCGCAAATATTCTAATTTGGCTTATCTCGTGGAAACTTTTTATTTTTTCTTCAGTCGATATTTTTTTTAGTCTCAAACAAATATTTGTATTTAACTGAAACTTTAAGAGATTTTTAAGTGATTTTGATGTCAACAATAAAAGTAATAAAGAAAAATCATCATTAGTTGTGAAGTACTTTTACGTGTATTAAAAAAAACTTTTTTCAGTGAAAATCAATAGCACAATAAAGAAAGGACCTTTGACCGGTCGTAGTTTTTTTTTAATGAAAAAACTGAACCTCGTACTTCATTACCGAGGAGGTTGCCAGCTCCGAGAGCTCTTCTGCTCCGAGAGCTCTAGGCTCTTCGTTTACTCTCTAGGCTCTTCTCTATCCCAGTCTCTCTGTCTCTCTCCCTCCTCACTGGTTCCCCATTCACATCGCATGCCGTCATCCAGGCATCCAGCGCCTCCACCAGCGTGCGCCCTCACATCCTCCCATACTCAGCCCTTGCACCTCCTTCCTGTAGTAGCGGCGCCTCCTTCCGCCTACTGGCTGCAGCAGCGGCCAACGGCGCCACCTCTCCTTGATCCGGCAAAAGATGGAGAAGCGCGACAGCGAGAAGATGAAGAAGCGCAGT